AGCTATTTCTGGTTATATACTTTCGTCTATAAATTGAAGTCGTTGCAATTATCTTATATATTTTACCAATGCAACAACTTGAATAAAACGAACAAATACACTCCGCTTACATTTTTAGAGTTTACATATTAAGACTTGATAAAATCAATTTCAGAACGTCTGGGTCCTGTAGGGAGGCAACCCGGGCCCTTCGTGGGACGTGCCCGTTCGCCAGACCGCTAATGTCATAAGACGGGGCTAACGAGACGACCTGCCGGGAATCACAACTAGACAGACTAAAGTTCAAATAAGTACGATACCAATAGGTTTAGTATATCAAGTACTGGTAGATAATGATAGATAGCTAGATACGTAGGACAGGATTGTGTAACAATTGAGATATACCAGTACAATGCTCTATTGTGAAATGCTACTGGTATTAACGTGTGTGTCGTGACTTTGTTTCTCGTGACGTTGTGGTATATATCAGTGGTATATTGAATCGTGTAAGTGTTGTAAGGGACTTGGGTGTCATGACAGATGCGGTGCTTTCGTTTAGGCCCCATTACGACTTCATATGTAATAAAGCACATAGGCTGTTATCTTTTGTCCTAACCATTCCGAAATTCGGGCTCATTAATATTATTATATAATTATTTCGTTACAAGTATCCTGGAATACTGTGCGCCTGTTTGGTGCCCTATGTACAGCGTCCACATTGAAAGAATTGAGTCTACACAACGTCGATTCTTGAGATGTCTAAGTGCAAATTCGGACTAAGGCGCAAGCTGCCTAATTACACTGATCGCTTACACAAATTCAACTTGGCCAGTCTCGAGGAGCGTAGGCCAGTGTCAGACCTATGTACTTTGCATAAAATTGTTAATTCTATCCTGGATTCTCAGCTGATCGAACACCTGTATTTTAGAGTACCTACTCGGTCTATAGGTTGTTGTTTGTCACAGTTGTTTCACAAAATGGACCATTATGCAGAATGTGTCGATCATATAATAGCATATGTTCCGTAATAGCGTATGTTGTAGTTCTAAGTGCTTCAAAACAGTACACAACAGTAACAGTACACTAGTATAGGCAAAAAATAGCGTACT